CAGGCCCACATGGGGCACTGCCCTGCTCCTGCTGTGATGCTGGTCTGCTCCCCACCTGACATCCCACCCTCTAGTTAACAAGCCTCTTGGCAGGCAGGGATGGCGACAGCAACAGCAAAGGGGATCTTTTTTTTTTTTTTTTTAAAACAAGCAACAAGATCTGGACAACTGTTTAGCTCCATGTCTGGCCTCGTGCATCCCCCCACACACACCCAGCCACACCCACCCTGCCGGCCACACGCCACACACACATCCACCCCCAGCCCCACGCCACACACATGTGCCTTGCTGCCTGGCCCACCCCATGGCAGGACTCACATGACGCTGCACCGCTGTCAAAGCAGGGGCAGTGAGGCAGGGAGCAGATGTGAAGCGGAGGCTGCAGCTGCAGCCGCAGTGGCAAGTGCCCAGCCCAGCACATAAAAGCAGGCCCGAGCATGGCTGCCCCTGCTAGCACCAGCCCTCTCTGCTCACACGTCCTCCCTGCTTCACCTCCAGCCCCAGCTGCACCAGGACAGGCTGCGGGGTCAGGGCCACATGGGGCACTGCCCTGCTCCTGCTGTGATGCTGGTCTGCTCCCCACCTGACATCCCACCCTCTAGCTAACAAGCCTCTTGGCAGGCAAGGATGGCAGCAGCAGCAGCAGCAAAGGGGATCATTTTTTTTTAACAAGCAACATGATCTGGACAACTCTTTAGCTCTGTTTGGCCTCGTGCATCCCCCTACACACACCCAGCCATGCACCACCCACCCACCCACGTGCCACATGCCACACACACACATCCAGCCACACGCCACAGCCACCTAGTCACACGCCACACCCAGCCACATGCCACACCCCCACCCAGCCACACCCACCTAACGACATGCCACACCCGCACCCAGCAACATGCCAGCCACACCCACCCAGCCACACTCACCCACCTACCCAGCCACATGCCACAGACATGCACACACCACCCACCCAGCCACACGCCACACACATACACACCCACCCAACCAACCACATGCCACACACCCACCCAGCCAGCCAGCCACACTCCACACGGACACACATACACACACACACTGCATACCATGCACATCCAGCCACGCACCCACTCCCAGCCCCACACCACCCCCCAGCCCCTGCACCACACCACACACACGTGCCTTACTGCCTGGCCCACCCCGCGGCAGGACTCACATGGTGCCGCACCACTGTCAAAGCAGGGGCAGCAAGGCAGGGAGCAGAGGTGGAGCAGAGGCTGCAGCTATAGCCGCCCCTGCTCACTGCATAGACTGGGGCCCATGTGCCCCCTGGGCTCCTCAGCCTGGCCAGGGTGCATTCACCATGACTGGGGCCTCAGCCGGGCCATGTCCTGGGGCCATCAGAGCCTGGCAGCTCTCCCACAGTGCACACAGTGGTGGGAGCTGCCTGCACCTGGCACTAGAGGAGCCGCTGGGTTCCCATGGCCCTGCAGCCCCCCCACCACCACTCAGCTGGGATCAGCCCAGTAAAACCTCAGCCCCAGTCCCCCATCCCCCGCCCTCCCATCCTCTGGCAGTGGCAGCAGGCTGCTGCAACCCCCTTCCTGCCTCCTGTGCCAGCTCCCTGCATGGCACACTATGGCTGTGCCGCCCCCCCTCACCCAGTGCACCCCACAGCCACAGCTGGCAGGAGGGTGTGGGTGCTGCTGCAGGGTGCCGCGCAGGGAGTGGGCATGGGGGTGCACTGCACCCCATGGTCACATGCTGCAGCTGGTGGGCGCTGCCCGCATGCCCCCCACGCCAGCTCCCCATGCCCCCATGCACCACACGCCCCTGCGCCCTGCATGCCCCATGGCCACAGCTGATGGGTGATAGCCTCACAGGGGGTGGGGGTGCGGCCACAGGGTGCCGTGCGGGGGCGCGCCTTGCCCCATGGCTACGTGCTGCAGCTGGTGTGTGCTGCCTGCACACACCGCACCCGCTCCCTGTGGCCCCGCACCAGGTCCTGCCACGCGCCATGCCCCCACACGGCCGTGCGCCATGTCCCTTCCCTCCCCTCTCCTCCCCTCCCCTTGCCCCTGGGCGGTGGAACACACCCTGGCCCCCACCGCCTCCGCCTCGCCTGTGTGTCTGTCAGTAAGGCTCCAAGCGGTGCATGCACTGTTGGCCTGGAGCATTACAGACAGACAGACACACAGCCAGAAGTGCTATGGCTTTTATTAAATTAGAAAAGATTACACACTGTAAAGAGAAATTAATTCATTAGCTATGCATATTGACTAATTCATATGTACAATTTTATTGGGTATAGATTAGCTTTGAAAAAGGACCAGGAATAAGAAACTGGGAATAAGGAACCAGCTTCAGCCTCATTGCCCTGGGATGGAGGATTCCCTTTCCCAGGACATTGCAGATACCTTCCAGGGCATTGGGACAGGGCAATGGCCCATGCCAAGGGCCCTGCTACAGGCTTTTGGCCTGACCAAAGCTTTCCTCTGCCTGTCATGCCCAGCCTGAAGCTGGCCTGGAGAGTGGCACGGGCTGGCAGAGCCTTTGTGCCCTTTCTCCAAATTCATGGGCTGACGCGGGGAGACCCCTGCAACGGCACTGCAGTCAATTTCCCCCCCCCGAGGTGGCCGCATTTCAGGGGGGCAGCGCCATGTGTGGGGCTGGATCCTGCCGGCCAAGCTCTCTCTTCCTCGCTCCTTCCTGTGGCTGCACACCTGGCTGCAGGCAGGGTCTCCCCGAGTGGGTGGATCCAGGCTCCATTCAGGGACAGGGGCTGGCTGGGCAGGGTGTGCCCCAGCCTCCTCCACCCCTTGGCTTTATCTCAGCAATGAGGACTACACAACAGCTGCCTGTGGGATATCTCCCTGGCCAGGAAATGAAGACATAGACCTATGAAAAATGTTCTGGCAAGTGACCAGAACAGGCAACCAAGGGTTAAGGTCAGCACAAAAGCAAAAGGTGTAAGAGTTGACACAAAGATTAACCTGGAAGGGGAGAACAAAAAACTATTGCCTTCCCCTGCCTGAACTCAAAGTGAGGGCTCTCCCTGCAGCTCCCTCTCCTGAGGACTCCTCTGGCTGCCAGGCCCCTGTTTCTTGCAGGTATTCCTGCTCCGACAGACCCCAGCTAACCAAGCCCTTTCCTGGGACGCCAGAGGTCCTCTGGGCGAGCAGCAGGAGGAAGCCTGCATTCGGCTTGTTCCATGGATCTGAGGCAAGGGGTCATGCTCAGGGACCACAGGCTGCAGCAGCACCCAGAAAGGCGACCCCATCGCTACCAAGCGCAGGAGCTCAGCACAGGGAGGTTCTGAGCAGGAGTAGAACTGGGCTTGGGCTCCTGCTGGGAGCTGCGGGGAGTTCTTCAGTCTACTGTTGCATTCACCAAGAAACATGCATTTCCATTCACCAAAGTGATTCTCTCCATTGCCAATTCCACTAAGCTCCTCACGCCCCAAAACCCAGAAACCTGGTAAAGAATGCTTTTGGAAAATATTTGGATTTTTCATTTCCAAGCAATTTTTTGTTTCAAAACATACCCACATTTTGATCTTAAAAAGCAAAGCAAAATGGGCCATTTTGTTTGGCCCCCCGAGTAGTATTTTTCCATGGTTTCATTGTGGGGAAGAACTTTTGTTTTTGGATGTTTCGGGTCAGTCTGTTCTGCCCTTGTGCTCTGGTGGGTAAGTCTAGGCCCCTCTCTGTGCCTCAGCTTTCTGCTGCTGTATGCCAGGGAGAATCACTGTGTAACTGTGGGGTTTGTTTGTCCATGTGTATTAACAGTGCTGTAGCAAGGAAGTTTGGCGCCCAGGGTAAGCCCGCAGCGGCTGCCTGTCTTCGGCCCGTGCACAGATCCAGGGGTCACATGCCCCCACCCATGCTTCCCTGGGGGTGCACGAAGCAGTAGGAGCCGCTCCCCCATCTCCGTGCCCCCTCGAATGAGCTGCTCGCAGTTCCATCCCACACCCCATCCTGGCTGGGCAGCACCTGTTGGCACCCCTTCGCTTCAGTGCCAGGGGCAGTCACACTGCTCGCTCCTCCCTTGATACCGTCCATACTCTGTATTACTATCAATGCTACAGTTGCGCCTGTGTCTAATTGCTTTGGGTTCTTTTAACAATCCCACCTAAGTTCTCCTGCACCTGCTGGTTCAGTGCAGGGAATATTATGTTACCACCCATGGGCTTCTTGGCCTCTGACTGGCATCTGCCCTGGGAGATCTCCTATCATTTCTTGCCTGGGTGGGTCCCTGTCCCAGCCCCACTGCTGGGCAACACAGCAGGTATCATTGCAAGGCCCAGCAGCACTCTCTTAGCATGTTCCTGTCTCTGTGAGCGGGACTAGGATGGGATCTTTGGGGCTTTTGTGTCCCAAAGCTGGGTGTAAGCCCAGCAAGATGGCTCTCATGTGCTAGGAAAGAGCTCAGGCATTCTCAGCTCAAGCTCTTCTGCTTCTAGAGGCAAGGTGCGAACTGACAACCTCAGGTCTTGCCAGGCAACCTTGGTGGCAG